TCCCTACCCCTCTCAGTTGTGGATTACAGTGCTGTTGCTCCTGGCTCCTTCCCCTTGTCCCTCAAGTTGGAGAAACTAGGGATTATCTGTCAGAGTTTTAGCTTCTTCATGGTATGTCACAACCTTGATCTGCCATTAGGCCAAAGCAACAAAAACAGGAAACTCACTTCATGCTGATTCCTTTCTCCAAGTTTTAGCACCCTCCTCCCCAAAAACTGCCTGCTTTTGTTTATTCTCCAGAGCCCTCAGATATTTACTTTATGTATTTTGGCCAGAGGTAACAGTTGTTATCTCTGGAAGGGGCTGTTTATTATGAGCTTACTTAGATTTACTAGACTGAGCCTTAGACATTGTGTTTTGAAATTTTTGCTTAAACATTATATTTATCCAAGAATTAAATGTAATATTTATTTTATTTTTTCTTCAGCTTTTAAGTTCTGAGGTACATGTGCAAGTTGTGTAGGTTTGTTGCACAGGTAAATGTGTGCCATGGTGGTTTGCTGCACAGATCAACCCATCACCTAGGTATTAAGCCTAGCATCCATTAGGTATTCTTACTGATGCTCTCCCTCCCATTGCTCCCCAGTGCATGTTGTTCTCCATATGTCCATGTGTACTATCATTCAGCTCCCACACGTAAGTGGGAACATGTAGTGTTTGGTTTTCTGTTCCAGCATTATTATGCTGAGGATAATGGCTTCCAGCTTCATCCATGTCCCTGCAAAGGATGAGATCTTGTTCCTTTCAATGGATGCATAGTATTCCATGGTTCATATGTACCACATTTTCTTTATCCAGTCTATCATCGATGGCCATTTGGGTTGGTCCCATGTCTTTGCTATTGTGAATACTGCTGCAATGAACATACACATGCATGTATTTTTATAATAGAATGATTTATATTCCTTTGGAATTGCTGGGTCAAATGGTATTTCTGTCTCTAGATCTTTGAGGAATCACCATACTGTCTTCCACAATGATTGAATTAATGTACACTCCTGCCAACAATGTAAAAGTGTTCCTTTTTTCCATCTGTTTTTTCTGGACTTTTTAATAATTGCCATTCTGACTGATATGAAAAGATATCTCATTGTGGTTTTGATTTGCATTTCTCTTATTATCAGTGATGTTCAGTTTTTTTCCCACATGTTTCTTGGCCACATTAATGTCTTCTTTTGAGAAGTGTCTGTTGATGTGCCTTGCCCACTTTTTAATGGGCTTGTTTTTTTCTTGTAAATTTGTTTAAGTTCCTTGTAATCTCTGGGTATTAGACCTTTGTCAGATGGATGGACTACAAAATTTTTCTCCCATTCTGTAGGTTGTCTGTTCACTCTGATGATAGTTTTTTTGGTTGTGCAGAAAAGCTCTTTAATTTAATTAGATCCCATTTGTCAATTTTGCTTTTGTTGAAATTGCTTAGGCACTTTTTCATGAAATCTTTGCCCATGCCTGTGTCCTGAATGGCATGACCTAGATTTTCTTCTAGGGTTTTTGTGGTTTTATACTTTTATGAATTAATCTTTAATTCTTCTTGAGTTAATTTTTATATAGGATGTAAGAAAGGGGTCCAGTTTCGATTTTCTGTATATGGCTAGCCAATTCTCCCAGCGCCATTTATTAAATAGGGAATCTTTTCCCCATTGCTTGTTTTCGTCAGGTTTGTTTAAGATCACATGGTTGTAGGCGTGCAGTGTTATTTCTGAGTTCTCTATTCTGTTCCATTGGTCTTTGTGTCTGTTTTTGTACCAGTACCATGCTGTTTTGGTTACTGTAGCCTTGTGGTATATATGAAGTCAAGTAGCATGATGTCTCCAACTTTGTTCTTTTTGCTTAATATTGTCTTGGCTATAAAGGCTTTTTCTTGGTTCCATATTAATATAGTTTGGCTGCATCCCCACCCAAATCTCACCTTGCATTGTAGTTCCCATAGGCTTGTTGCACAGGTAAATGTGTGGAAGGGAGGTAATTGAATCCTGGGGCTGGTTATCCCATGCTGTTCTCATGATAGTGAGTGAGTTCTCACAAGATCTGATGATTTTATAAGGGGCTTTTCCCTTTTCCCTTGGAACTTCTCCTTCCTGCCACCATGTGAAGAAAGACGTGTTTGCTTTCTTTTCTGCCATAATTTTAAGTTTCCTAGGGTCTCCCCAGCCATGCTGAACTGTGAGTCAATTAAACATCTTCTTTTATAAATTACCCGGTCTCAGGCAGTTCTTTATAGCAGTGTGAGAACAGACTAATACACATATGAATTTTAACACCATTTTTTTGAAATCTGTGATGACTGTCAATGGAAGTTTAATGGGAGTACCATTGAATCTATAAATTACTTTGAGCAGTATGGCTACAATATTGATTCTTTCTATCCATAAGCATGTAATGTTTCTCCATTTGTTTGTGTCCACTGTGATTTATTTGAGCAGTGGTTTGTCGTCATCCTTAAAGAGGTCCTTCATTTCCCTGTTAGCTGTATTCGTATGTATTTTATTCTCTTTGTAGCAGTTGTGAATGGGAGTTCATTCATAGTTTGGCTCTGTGATTGCCTGTTGTTTGTGTATTGGAATGCTAGCAATTTTTGTACATTGATTTTGTATCCTGAGACTTTGCTGAAGTTGCTTATCGGCTTAAGAAGCTCTTGGGCTGAGACGATGTTTTCTGAAAATAGGTTCATGTCATCTGCAAACAAAGATAATTTGATTTTCTCTCTTCCTATTTGAATACCTTTATTTCTTTCTCTTGCCTAATTGCCCTAGCCAGAACTTCCAATACTATGTTGAATAAGAGTGATGAAAGAGGTCATCCTTGTCTTGTGCTGGTTTTCAAGGGGAATGCTTCTAGGTTTTGCCCATTCAGTATGATATTGGCTGTGGGTTTGTCATAAGGCTCTTATTAGTTTGAGGTATGTTCCTCAACAACCTAGTTTGTTGAGGATTTTTAACATGAAGGGATGTTGAATTTTATCGAAGGCCTTTCTGCATCTATTGAGATAATAATGTGGGGTTTGTCTATTGTTCTGTTTATGTGATGAGTTACATTTATTGATTTCTGTATTTATTGATTTCTGTATGTTCATCCCAGGGATGAAGCCTACTTGGTCATGATGGATAAGCTTTTAATGTGCTACTGGATTTGGTTTGCCAGTATCTTCGTAAGGATTTTTGCATTGATGCTCATCAGGGATATCAGCCCGAAGTTTTTTTTGTTATTGTTGTGTCTCTGCCAGGTGTTGGTATCAGGGTGATGCTGGCCTTATAAATGAGTTAGGGAGGAGTCTCTCCTTTCCCATTGTTTGGAATAGCTTCAGAAGAATTGGAACCGGCTCCTCTTTGTACCTCTGGTAGAATTCAGCTATAAATCTGTCTGGTCCTACCTAGGCTTTTTTTGGTTGGTGGGCTATTTATTATTGCTTCAATTTTAAATTTAATATTTTAAAATCTTGAGTTAAATGGTTGAATGAATGTGTGGAGAGTTAGATATCAATGAATATCATCAGCGCATATTTTTAAAGGTATAAACTTTAACCCTGCTGGATATAGGATAAAATTTACATGAAAACACTATATTGAATCAGTCAATTTAAGTAAAATAAATTCAAGGAAGTGGTCTGAATTTCTCAGTTAGCATTTAGATATTTATGGGAGTCACATAAAATAAATTATAAATGTGACTAAGGGCTTTTTATTAAGGAAAATGAAATATTGCTGTAGACATGATTCTGTGTGTTTCTTTACTACACTATGAGCTAAGAATTTTGTAGGCAAATCCTAAGTATATAAATTGGCTTATTGATTACTGATTGGGAATATAAATAGATACAAAAATTTGGGGAAGCATTTTGGCATGTCTACCTAAAATTTAAATATGCAAGCACTAGTCCCTCCTTACCTACAGTTTCACTTTCAGCAGTTGTGGAAAACAGTTGAGCACAGTGCAGTAAGATAGATAGAGAGAGACCACATTCATATAACTCTTATTATCATAAATTGTATAATTGTCCTAATTTATTTTTAGTTATTGTTGGTAATCTTTTACTGTGTCTAATTTATAAGTTAAACTTTATCATGGGTACGTGTATGTATAGGAAAAAACATGGTATATATAGAATTCAGTATTACCCTTGGTTTCAAGCATTCAATGAGGATCTTAGAAAGTATCCTCTGTGAAAAAGGAGGGACTATTGTACTTTTATGAAAGCACTTCCCAGAATAAACACACAGACATATACATGCACACACTTTCACAAATACACTTAAACATTCAATCATGAAGTAAAAATTAATTATGAAATATCTAGACAATGAATATTATGTAGTTTTTTTTGGAAAGAAGCAGAATTACATCTACTGATGTGAAAGGATGTTCATCATATATATTAAGTAAAAATTAGGTTCATCAGATATGTAAAGTAAAAAAAGTCACAAATTAAGAGAAAGTGTTGATTGATTTGAGAGTTTGTATTTTTTTCCCTATTTTGTGCTGAAAAGCTGAAATTGGCATCAACCAAGGCATATTGTTATATATGCATCAAGCTAAATAATTTTTCGATCTTTAAGACTATTAATAAGTGATGCTGTATAAATAGAATCAGTGCCAGATTTTTTGTTTCAATTCTATCAGCCAAGTATAGTATGCTTTCTTTGGTTGTGATAGAAAAAAGAGAAAAAAAAAACGCGGAAGCAAAAAGTAAAATTGTACAATAGTGTGTAAAGTGTGGTTACATTTTGGTAAAATGTATTGGTGTGTATATCTATATAGCATAGTCAAAATGCTGGAGTGATATATAATTATCTGTTACTGGTTTAGTCTACAAGGGAATTAGTTTTTAAAGAACTTTCATTTTCATTGCTTTTAACAATTCTGCACAAATTTAATTTGGTATAAGAAATATATATTTTAAATGTTATTGAACCTACTTAAAATAAAGTAGAGATAAATAAGTAAATAAATCATAGGAAGTTCACAGTCTGACTTTATCAGGATTGTTGCTATTTTCTTAACAGGTCATCAAACATTATCACCGACCCTTGGAAAGAATGACTTTTTATAATTTGAAAATCTCGTTTATTCTTCAACTCCTGCTGGCTTTAAAAGCACTAAATCCACATATCCTAGGAGGCATGACTGTCCAATATATCCTATGTGTACATTGATTTATGAACAATAAATGTTTCATACACAGTTGAAATTTTAAATGAGCTTATGATAATTGGGTCAGAGGAATACTAGTCCAGCTTGAGAGTACTGCAAAAAACCAATCACAGAAGGCTATGATGAAATTTTAATTATAAAGGATATTGAATATCCTAGAGTGACAACTCTGCTATAATAGATGTAACACTGAATTGGAAAGAGAGAAAGTGAGATTTTTACCTATTTCTGTTTGAAGTCAACTTTCTGTTTCTAGCAAATTATCAAACCATTCTGTTTTAATTTTTATATCTTAAAATTACCATTCCAGTGTCTTTGATTCACTGGGTTTATTAGAAAATTGGCCAATAAATATATAATAGATATAGAAAAGTCTGCCTGGGCATGGTGGCTCACATCTGTAATAATAGTGTATTGATTGTTATCATTGTTCTATTTTATTATTAGCTATTGTTGTTAATCTTTTACTGTGCATAATTTATAAATTAAACTTCATCATGGGTGTGTATGTATAGGAAAAATGTGGTATACATAATATTCAATATTATCCCTGGTTTGGGACATTCAGTAGGGGTCTGAAGGTGGGTGAGGTGAGCCTATTCTGGGAGGCTGAAGTGGGCAGATTGCTTGAGCCCAGGAGTTCAGGACCAGCCTAGGCAATATGGTGAAATGCTGTCTCTACAAAAAATGCAAAAATTATCTGGGCGTGGTAGTGCATGACTGTAGTCCCAGCTACCCAGGAGGCTGAGGTGGGAGCATCACTGAGCCCAGTGGTTGAGGCTACAGTAAACTGTGATCATGCTACTGCACTCCAGGGGGACGACTGAGTGGGATCCTGTCTCAAAAAAAGTCACAAATTAAGATAAAGTGTCGACTGATCTGAGAGTTTGCGTATTTTTTTTTCTATTTTGTGCTGAAAAGCTGAAGTTGGCATCAACCAAGGCATATTGTTACATATGCATCAAACTAAATAATTTTAAGATTTTTAAGACCATTAATTCACAGATGCTGTATAAATAGAATCAGTACTAGATTTTTTGTTTCAATTCTACCAGCCAAGTATAGTATGCTTTCCTTGCTTGTGATAGAAAAAAGAAAAAACACAGAAGCAAAATTGAAGAATTTGTAAATCATTTCTAAATAACTTTAATAAAATGAGCTTTGAAAGGGAAAAATTTTAAATAAGATCTCATCAAAATGCCTTAAAGTGTATTTTAATATTCAGTAAAAATAGTGTATATTGACATGACTAATTTAGAGAATTTATATTTTACCCACATTATGATGTATTATGCCTGTAACTGCTAAAGGAATTATGTAACAAAATCTATCAAAGAATACACCAGTGGGATTTATATCAGAAAAATCAAAGCAATTTGTAAAGCACCATTACTTAGGCAGAATATCGTAGGTAGGAGGAAGACGGTACTGAAAGAAGTTGGGATATGAAGTATAAATCTATTTTGCATCATGATTTTGCTAATTCTGGCCATTTATTATAAAAACATGTACAGAAGATTCTTTTGCAATTTCTAAAAGAGAAAGAAACTTGTAGTTTGTGAGAACAATAGTATTCCTTGTGAAATACTTAGATATTAATAGCTTGAGACTGATAATATGACTCTTAAGTTAGGGGTTGCATGTGTAGTGGTCAGGTGTTATTTCAGAATCTCAAGAAACAGAACCATGGTAAAAAGAAGCTTCCTGGAGCTTTTGATAAATTCTTTCACCTTTTTGGGACCCATTTTCTTCATCAATATCAACCTCATTGGGGTCCTTTGAGGAGTACAGAGGTTAGATATATGCTGAAATAATATGCCAACTCTTAAGTGCTACGGCATTAGGATGCAAGGGGGCTAGTGCCCAAAAAGTCAATAATTACTTGATACTCTATGTATCTGAATGGATAATTTTGAGAAGTAATCCTTCTGACACAGAGGTGCAGGTTTGTTAGTTTGTTCCAGCAGCAAACATAATGGGTACAGAAAAGAGAAACTGTGGCCTGCATATAGACTGAGCTTAGGACAACAGTTGGAAAACAGTTCAAATTCAAGGTACTTCAACAATATCTAACATGTTTTTGAAATGTATTTTTTAAACCGCTATCCAAATCAATGAATGCTTTGGCTAAAATCTACTTGGAAACGAGGGTGTTCTTTAGTGCCAAATACCCATTTTATTTTGGTCTGTGGCTAAAATCTGAAGAGTTACAGAAGAGAAATGGGAACAAACAAGGTTTTCTATTAAAATAAGAGGTCCCAAGTGATGAATGGAAACTTGGAACAGGTTTAATGGCATCTATAAGCCAGAAATTAGCTGCAGTGCACACTCATGAATCTTGGAGCATATCTTGAGTTTCAGATAGAAAATTGCTACTAAGTTTAGTGAATTAGAAACATAGCGTAACCTAGGAAGTTGCAATTCTTGTCCCAAAAATGCTCAACTTGCTGTTGGACTGGCATGGACACTTGGTACCTCCTTGTTTTGAGTCATTAATAAAGTGTTGAATGGGATAAGACTTAGAGTGGATCCCTGTAGTCCCCCATTAGAATTCTCCTTTTAAGTTAAAGTATTCCATTAATAAATACTTTTTGGCACGTTATTTAAGCAATTAAAAAATCACCTAACTACACTGTCTTGCAGCTGCCTTTCTTTCTTTATCTCGTTCACATGAGTATATTGAGAAACTTTGTTTAATGTCTCCATGAATTCTAGATGAACTGTTCCTGCAGCATTTCTTTTTTTTTTTAATTTTCTTTTGATATTATTGCATTTATTTTGGCAGTGATTCTAGCAACTAAAATCTAAAATGCCCATATGAAAAACAACCTTAAGTCTATGTGGTTAGTTTGAAGTTACCGGTTTTTCATTACTGTTTCTAGTCCTTAGTATGAATGCCTTCATTTCTAAGCATTCATAAACAATCACTTTAGTAATATTAGAGTTTTGAAGGAATTTGTATCAAGCTCAATGGCACTTTTTAAAAGATAGGAAATTGGGTTCCCTAGTCACATCTGTAAGTCCTTCAGTGCCTTGGAATATCATTTATTTGGCCCCAGATACTTACATCACTTTTACATCTCCTATCTCTTTATGGAGCTTGAGGCTCAAGTTTCATGTAACCATTTTCTTCAATGAAAAAGAATTAAAGAATTTTATAGTTTAAAAATACTTTAATACTCTATGATTCTTGTTAGGCCATCTCAGTTGAGAATACTTATAGAGAAGTAAAGCTCCCCCAATACTGACTAGTTTGATTTTATCTGTTAATATTATACAATCTACCCTAAACCTTTAGCCTGTCTCTCTCTTTTTATTGTTACTCATCCAAAGATGGCTTGAATCTCTTTGTTTATTTATTTTATTTTACTTTTTATTTTTTTGAGATGGAGTCTCACTTTGTTGCCCAGGCTGGAGTGCAATGGTGCCATCTCGGCTCACTGTAACCTCTGCCTCCCAGGTTCAAATGATTCTCCTGCCTCAGCCTTCCAAGTAGCTGGGATTACAGGCTCATGCCACTGTGGCCAGCTAATTTTTGTATTTTTATTAGGGACAGGGTTTCACCATCTTGGCCAGGCTGGTTTCAAACTCCTGACCTCATGATCCACCCGCCTCAGACTCCCAAAGTGCTGGGATTACAGTGGTGAGCCACCATTCCCGGCTCTCTTTGTTTATTTTAAGCAATTTTCAGACACCTCAGCCAACTATCAATAATATATTAGTTTTTCAGAACTAAAAACTTAGAGGATCTCCCCCTAAAAGCCAATTGTTAATGCCAAATATTTGATTGATATATTTCTTCTGGAAGAAGAGATGTGAAAAGTTTATCCATCAAAACTTTTGTCATCTTCCCATCCACTGAATGTTTTATCTGTAAATAATGCTATAATCATATTGGAAAGTATTTCCCTTCTGGGGATACATGAAGATCAGGAATCCTATTTGTTTTTTAACAAGATGGCATTTTTAAAAACTACTTTGGACAACACTAAACATTAGAGGTGACCATTTGTCTCTCTATTTTATTATATAACTTGGGCTCACTTTGTAGAGCAACATAAATACATAAATTAAAACATGAAAACTAGATCCTTCCCTATTTGACAGATACTCTCCTAATTCACATAAATTATTCTTTCTCTATTATTAGCACCATTACAGACCATTTTACTTTTGGCCACAGGACAAAAATACATGCTCATTAGTTTGATCAGCTTTGGGGCTGGTCATTATAAGAGTATCTGTCAAATAGGGAAGGATCTAGTTGTATTGTAATTGGTTTTGCTCCTATGCCCTGTGATCTCATGATAGATGTATTTAACAAACATAATTAAGAGAGACAACTGAGGGATACTATTTCAAAGTTCTTGTCTAGCATAGGGCTAAACGAACATAATGTCCTATCCAATCATGTCACTTTTCTTGTTAGTTATTAGCAAGGAACATGTTTATTTTATATTTTGTAATTTTAATATAAAGTAGAAAAAGTATTATATTATTTTTTTGGCAGGGCCTTTCTTAGGGTCCAAAAACTTTATCAGTGGGATTCAGTTCTCCGGGTTTGAAATACTTTGTTTCATATCTTCATTTGACAATTTTACTATGTAAAATCATTTCAGATTCTCAACCTCCTCTCCATAAGATATGCCCTATATCTATACAGAAAAGGGCTATAGCAGCTTTTCTTGAATTTACTAAAAATAAGATCTGAAGAAAATGAAGCGATAAACATTTATTGAAAGTCTATAAGGGTTTCTACATTGTGAAGGAGACAGAAATATAAGACATGTCTCCTGTTTTTAGGTTGCTTATAATTAAAGAGATGTTAAAGTATTTGGATGAATTAAAAAATGGCACATGTCAGCTTACAGAGATATGCTGGAGACTGTGAAAATGAAAAAAAAACACATGTTTAGAATAGACACTGTTTCATGGATTAGGTAGGTTTTCACCTGGACTTGAAATGTATATAAGATTTTTTTTTTTTGAGACGGAGTTTCGCTTTTGTTGCCCAGATTGGAGTACAATGGCGCAATCTTGGCTCACTGCAGCCTCGCCTCCCAGGTTCAAGTGATTCTCCTGCCTCAGCCTCCTGATTAGCTGGGATTACAGGCAGGGGCCACCATACCTGGTTAATTTTGTATTTTTAGTAGAGACTGGGTTTCTCTGTTTGTCAGGCTGGTCTCAAACTCCCGACCTGAGGTGATCCGTCTGCCTCGGCCTCCCAAAGTTCTGGCATTACAGGTGTGAGCCATATATAAGATTTTAAAAGGAAGAGAGAAAATAAGATGCTGTTTGTATTAGAATTACACGGGTAAATTTGTAAATTTAGTTCTTTTCAAAGAACATTAATTGAGCACCTGTGCTAAGCTCCATACTGGGTGCTATAGATTACAGGAACTAACTTCATAGTCTATTGCTAAAGTATTTCTGTGTATCCTAAAAAGGTAAATCTCTTGTGAGGAAACAAATCCCTTGAAGGAGTTCTCATAACAGAAGCCCCATTTCCTTGGTGATATAAAAAGGGGCTGTTTTTTTCTCAAAATGTGATATAGTTCCAGAAGTAATTGGGAAAGCTTAACTTTGTTGCATACTCATCTTCCCTATCATTGTTGATTTCCTATATGGCCTAGTTACACGTGCTTATCTGTGTTTGATAGCTAAAGGGCGGTGCTACATGTAAGGCTGCCAACTAAGGTGTTATCCGATGATGATATATTGTTGCATTTCATGACAACAGCAACAACAACAATAATATACTTATTAGTCACTGTGCAAATTGCTTTACATACATTTTCTCATGTAATCATAATAATAACCCTAAGAGTGTTGCTTACTATTGTTTTCCTTAATTAAAATGAATAAAATGAAGCTTAGGTTAAGTAACATGTCCGTAGCTACACGGTTAGTCATTGGCAGGGGTGTGACTGACTACAAAGTCTGTGTTTCTAATTACTGTGTTCTTCTACTTTTTAATAGGGAGTTCTTGAAAGTCCAAGGAAAGGAATGCATAATGGTGTGGTCAAGGCATTAGCATTAATATTTGTAGAAAGGGTAATTAACAACAGTCTGAGCAATCACATTCTAACAACTAGTAAAGTTGGCAGAAGCCTGGGTATAATAGTGTGACGAACAAAATCATTATAGTGCCAAATAGAGTATACCATCTCTTTAGTACAATATCTTTCAAAAGGAGGCTGATTGTGTTGGCTTTATGTTTGCCTCCTCAATAATTAAGGCAGCAAATATTAGTTGGAGCTTCCAATACCTAACGGGCCTAAAACAGCAAAATGGACAACCTGGCATGTGTCCTTGCTGGAAGATGACAAGAGTGCTGAAAGGAGAATCCAGGTTTTTCTCCTGAGACATGATACTTGGGGGCTTCCATTAAAAAGTCACCAAGTCTCTGTCACTGCAATCTCTTCCTTAAGTGCCTATGATCTTTTCACAGTCACAGGTCTATGCCTGATCAACACCCAGTGGCCAAGTCTCTCAGCTGTGGGCAGAGATGGCAGCGACTTGGAGGGCTGGGGGCAGATGACAGGAGGAAAGATCATTTTTTCTGACAACTTACAACTTGATTCCACTTATAAGCCATCTATTTTCAGAAATAAGTAATGGGTGAGGACATAGGCCAGGTCCACAATTTGTGCACTTGAGAGATTAAGGCCTCACAGATCAAATTGCCACAGCAAACTGAGATAGAATTATTGCAGGGATGTTTGGGGAGGATGCAGAGAAAGGAGGAAGAAGGCAGAGACCCAAGAAAGGAGACAGGAATAGATTTTGATGAAAATTACTTCCTACTCTGTACCCTTGAGGGAACAAAGAGGACAAATAAGAAGCGGAGTGATAGGAGGAAGCTGGGTGTTTCTCCGGAATAAAACTGGGTAGGTAGTGGAGCATTGTTAGTGAGTGTGCTAGGGATTAGGGATGTGCTAGTTCAGCCTTTGAACTCTGGGGGTCAGGATCACAACCTTGGCTCCTTTAACCATCCCCTCTAGGAGGGAAGCATGCCAAATGTCAGGTCTCACTCTGACTTTGTTCCACTCCATAGCTAGAAAATGACCCATACAGGAAGATACACGGATGAGAGGATACTGGGAGATGAGGAAGAGAAAGACATTTTAGTGAGTGCTTTTTGCACATGAGCCAATAGATTTCAAATTCCTGTGGAAGAAATGTGAGGACTTGGGAAGAGTGAATATTCATTGCCTCTGAGCAGCAGAGGCAATGACACTGCTTGGAAAGATTTTCTCTGATCCTTCTGCCTTCTCCTTTACTGAACTGAATTTGTTGTCTCTTCGTTGCCTCTGTTGCAGTACAAGAGGAATCTTAGGGGCACAGAAGAGCAGAAGTCTAAGGAGTCTTATATTTAAGGAAGAGAAGCTGCAGCCATTGAAATTGCTGGTTATTGTAAGATAAATCCCAGACTTCCACGTTTTGCTTAACGACAGCAGATTTTTTTTTTTTTTTTTTTTTTTAACTGCAAAGCATTAATGGAATCCAAATTCCAGCCTGGCTTAGGAGATCAACAGTAACTCTCTTGATTTAATGGTTTTGCAGACTCTTGAAGACATTGTTATCCATTAAAGAAAAAATTTTAAATCACTCTTGAAAGAAAACGTCTTGTATGATAAATGAAAAAGATTTGAAGCAAGATTCGAAAAAGCTTGAGGGAAGAATCTCTTTAAACATTTTACCAGATTTTCTCCACTACCGTCAAAATGGATCAAATAACAGATTTGCCTACAGCTTCATGGAGTTTTTTTAAAATAGAGCATTTTAAATATTCAAATATTGGTTATTTGCCAAGGCACACACTGAAAGTAAGGGCCACTTGGCCGGGAGCAGAATTGAATCTTGGATTCCAGGTTGCTGGTTTTAGGCTTGCTCCTGGAAAGAGGGCAGCGTTTGCCATTCCCCTCCTTTTGCCCCAGGAGTTGAGCACTTTCTGCAGTACTTAAGAGTGTCCAGGGAAGATGTAGGGGTCAGGTGAATAGTTCCCACCGCCAATAACCCCAAAGCGCCGCCCCCCTGCGTTGTTTCCTTTTTATGTTAGAGCCGCCGCCCGGGTGCCCCTCCGTTTATTTTCCTGAATTGCGCTTGGAAATCTTTTCTTCTGGGGAGCTGATGGCCAGACTTCTAGGGACTTGACTGCTTTTCCCAGACTAATCTCCTTAAAGACCCGTTAAGCAGGCGAGAGACCGTGGAGACTGGATGAACAGGACAGTGGGGGTAGGGAGAAAGGGAGTGGCCGTGTTCCTGCGGTCCGCTGGGATCCAGCAGGTCCAGGATGAAGGAGATGGGGTTGGAGAGGCTGAGCAGTCCGGGCTCGCTGTCTGCCACTACGGCACGGAATCAGAGCCTGACTTACTGAGCCCTCCTCCCCCTCCTCCTCCCCCACCCCTCCGTCTCCCCTTCTGCTTCCTTTTCCCTCCCCCTGGAGCGGTAGCGGCTGCAGCAGCAGGAAGCCAAGCCGGGTTGAACGACTCGGAGGCGAGCGGAGGAGCTGGAATATGAGGAGTCAGCGAGGGCGGCGGGGCCAGGAGCCCTTGGGAGGGCCTACGGAGGGAGCGGCTCCATGCGTTTGCTAGCGCGTGAGCGGTGGGGGAGCGGGCGCAGGGTGGCACGAGCGGAGGCGGGGCCCGGGCGTGGAGCACGGCTGGGGAAGCTGCCGCCTCCGGCCCTGCCCGGCTGCCTCCGCCGCGGCCAGTGGCTATGGAGCAGGCGGGCACCAGACCTGCGGCGACAGAGCATCCACGGCTCCGGCGGCCCATGCCCTGGCTGCTGCTACTGCCTCTTCTCCTCCTGCTGCTGCTAGCGGGCCCAGTGGCCTCCCAGCTGCGATACTCGGTGCCAGAGGAGCAGGCACCCGGCGCGCTCGTGGGCAACGTGGCTCGCGCGCTGGGGCTTGAGTTGCGGCGCTTGGGGCCGGGTTGTTTGCGCATCAACCATCTGGGTGCGCCCAGTCCGCGCTACCTGGAGCTGGACCTGACGAGTGGAGCGCTCTTCGTCAACGAGCGCATTGATCGGGAGGCGCTGTGTGAGCAGCGGCCTCGCTGCCTGCTCAGCTTGGAAGTGCTGGCGCACAATCCCGTGGCGGTGAGCGCCGTTGAGGTGGAAATATTGGACATCAACGACAACTCACCGCGTTTCCCGCGGCCCAACTACCAGCTTCAGGTAAGCGAATCGGTGGCGCCTGGAGCGCGCTTTCACATAGAGAGTGCGCAGGACCCCGACGTGGGCGCCAACTCGGTGCAGACCTACGAGCTCAGCCCCAGCGAGCACTTCGAGCTGGACCTTAAGCCCCTGCAGGAGAACAGTAAAGTGCTTGAGCTGGTGCTACGTAAGGGCCTAGACCGGGAGCAGGCAGCCTTGCACCACTTGGTTCTCACAGCCGTGGATGGGGGCATCCCAGCCCGCTCGGGTACGGCACAGATCTCTGTGCGTGTCCTGGACACTAACGACAACTCTCCTGCCTTCGACCAGTCCACTTATCGCGTCCAGCTACGGGAGGACTCACCCCCAGGCACATTGGTGGTGAAGCTGAATGCCTCAGACCCAGATGAGGGCTCCAATGGTGAGCTCAGGTACTCCTTGAGCAGCTACACGTCGGACCGGGAGAGACAGCTCTTCAGCATAGATGCCAGTACTGGGGAAGTGCGAGTAATTGGGGGGCTGGATTATGAGGAAGCCTCCTCCTACCAGATCTATGTGCAGGCGACTGACCGGGGTCCAGTGCCCATGGCAGGTCACTGCAAGGTGCTGGTGGACATCGTGGACGTGAATGACAATGCCCCAGAGGTGGTGCTCACAGACCTGTATAGTCCTGTGCCTGAGAATGCTACACCCAACACCATTGTGGCCGTTCTCAGTGTCAATGACCAAGACTCAGGCCCCAACCGGAAAGTGAGCCTGGGTCTGGAGGCCACACTGCCTTTCCGACTGAATGGCTTTGGAAACTCTTATACCCTGGTGGTGAGTGGCCCGCTAGACCGAGAGCGGGTGGCTGCCTATAACATCACAGTGACAGCCACTGATGGGGGAATACCACAGCTTACATCCCAGCGGACACTTAAGGTTGAGATTTCTGACATCAATGATAATCCACCAAGCTTCCTGGAGGACTCCTATTCCATCTATATCCAGGAGAACAATTTGCCAGGTGTGTTGCTCCGTACTGTGCAAGCCACAGACCCAGATGAAAAGGAGAATGCAGAGGTGACCTACTCCCTTCTGGAGAGGGAGATTCAAGGGCTGCCAGTCACCTCCTATGTCTCCATTAACAGTGCCAGTGGCAGCCTTTATGCTGTCAACTCCTTTGACTATGAGAAGTTTCGGGAGTTCTTTGTGACTGTGGAGGCTCAGGACAAGGGGAGCCCACCACTGAGCAGCACTGTGACTGCCAACGTGTATGTGGTGGACATGAATGACCATGCCCCTCACATTCTGTACCCTACCTCAACCAATTCATCAGCAGCCTTTGAGCTGGTGCCTCGAACTGCCCCTGCTGGCTACCTGGTCACCAAAGTCATAGCCATGGACTCAGACTCTGGGCAAAATGCTTGGCTTTTTTACCATCTAGCCCAGACTTCTGACCTGGACCTCTTTAAAGTAGAGCTGCACACAGGAGAAATTAGGACTACCAGGAAGATAGGAGATGAGAGTGGTACCACTTTCAACCTGACCGTGGTGGTCCGGGATAATGGAGAGCCATCACTATCAGCCTCTGTGGCCATTACCGTAGCTGTGGTGGATAGGGTTTCCAAAATCCTCCCTGACACTCAGAGACATGTTAAGAGCCCTCGGACATACTCTGAAATTACCCTTTATCTAATAATAGCATTAAGCACAGTGTCTTTTATATTTCTTTTGACAATCATCATTTTGAGCATCATCAAGTGTTACCACTACACTGCGTATGGCACTGCATGCTGTGGAGGCTTCTGTGGAGTAAGGGAGAGGTCCCCTGCAGAACTTTACAAACAGGCCAACAACAATATTGATGCCAGGATACCACATGGCCTCAAAGTGCAGCCTCACTTCATTGAAGTTCGAGGGAATGGCTCCCTCACCAAGACCTACTGCTACAAGGCCTGTCTGACAGCAGGCTCAGGGAGTGACACTTTCATGTTTTACAATACAGGGGCCCAGACAGGACCAGGGCCCTCGGGAGCCCAAGCATCAGTGACTGACAGCAGGAACCTCACAGGCCAAAGTGGTCAGAGTGCTGGGAACCTGATTATTCTCAAAAACGAGGCTGTTCCTCAAAATGAGGTGAGATAATGGTCAGGGGTCTTCTACAAACTCATGCTTGTGCCACACATCCCCCAATATCCTGTGGTAGGCCTTATTGAGTCATTAACAGTGACAAGAGTTATTTGATAAACTGAGTATACATATATATATATATAGTATCCAAAATTTGATCATAATCTGCTGTTTCCTCTCTAGAAAAATAGCACTAAAGAATTATTTTTCATTTTTAGAGACATGAAGACTTGTCCATAACATTGTTTGAGAAGTGAGGATTAGTCTTCATATTTAATGCTAAGAGACAGATTTGTAGAGTAGTAGAACAGGCCTTGGAATAAGGATTATGTTTTAGGGAGTAATGTTATGAGACTCAAGGAGAAATGGCCTCTGCTGTATCATCTACAGGGAAATTTTTCTTTTGAATTCCTATAGGAGTGATGTTTCTTAAAAACCCCTGAGACCTCTGGGGCTATCATAGTCACCACTATATGCTGTTTATACTCTGTTTATACTCTGGACTGTCTATCATGGAAATTATCTAATTAATATTTATGGTAATTGCACTGAACCTATGTGATAGAATCCTCTGGAAATTCATGTCACAGGTAATAAAGCTGTAGTAGTTAGATATCATACTGAAGCTAAAGTTTGCTTTGGCTGTACAATGTGGCAACTCTTCTGTAGGGGGCTGTCAGAGGGGGTGGATGATGGTAAGGCAGAGAGATTAAGTACCAATTTGTTTGGCTGGGCCAGGGAGGTATTAGAATGAGTGGCTTAGGGGTGTGGGGGGATGATGAACACCAGGACAAGCTGGGATTGGGAGGAAGAGAAGGGAAAAAGAATTTTTCCAATAGCCACCTTTCTTGGTATACTCTGAATTCATTGTAAGAGGATTTCCCTGCATTTAGCTTAAATGCAGTCTGTAATCTTCTGATTTTCTGTTGACAGTTCCTATGGTTTTGATGAGATGTAAAGTAGCCTTTTCAAGGCCTTCATGTCTTTAAGTTTAATGACAGTGCTTCTGAAAGATACATTCATTTTCTAGATCTAAAATTTGATTTGCAATAGCTTCAAAAGTCTGGCTTGGAAACCCTACAGTAAGGTGTACCAGCAGGTGTTAGTATATACACTAGTTTTGAGTTTTAAGTAGGTATAAGGCCAGCTTGTTCATTATGAAGAATGTACATAAATGATTAGAAAGTACATGAATATGTGGGTGTGTTTGTGTTGTGTGTTTGTCTCTATATGTATGCTTGAAAAATAGAGGTATGGTTTGTGATACTTAAAACTTGGATTTCAAAAGCCAAAATTTTGTGTCATAAATAGTGATGAATTGTTATCTTTCCAAATAATTATTTTGTAGAAAGGGCTTTTAGAACTACCTACACAATGTTTGAACAATATTTGTCTCTCTCCTATTTTTTGCAATATATTTTTATTGACATATTGCTGTATTTTTAGTAATGTCCATATTGTCACATTTCAAGTTCATGATAATCTTGAGGAATGTAATGCACAGGCACAAAAGTTCCCATTCTTGATTGAGAGCAAATTTTCTCATGGACATTTCAGATAGATTTATTCATTTATCAAAAGTCCTGATGTTAGTCAATGCCGAATAACCACAGGAGGCAGATTGCAGATTAAGAAAAAAAGGTGTAGGGGTGGGGGGAATCAAAGAGTTTTCAGAATTCTTTAGATCGTAGCATTTGAAAGCATGTAAAAGGGTTTAACTTTCAATAAGGTTGCTGTAGGCATTTGCTTAACAAATTCCTGTGAAGCCCTTTGGGACTGGGGTGGGCTGCAGGTGGTGAAGAGGCATGAACAACTCAGGCCAGGCTCAGCTTTGCCGCCAGCTGTGAGCCAGAAGCTCAGAGGAATCACACTGTTACCCTCCCTCTCCTGACTCGAAGCTTGGGGCAATTTGATACATAAACTATTTCTGTCTTACACTGACCTGTATGTTAATATGTACTTTGGTACACAAATGTTTAATCTAGGGAGAAAATTATGTCAGAAAGTGCTTACTTTTGGAAGATTTTGTCGGGAGAGTACATGATTTTAATAAAGGCAAATTTCTGCCAGGTACTTTTGGAAATCTAGTGAGGAGCAGCAAGATCTACAGCTTCAGAAATTTTTGCAATTATAGGGAGAGAGTGAGTCACATTGTTATAGTATGCCAAGATGGGAACAAAAGTCACTCAATTCTGAAAGTCATTACCAGATCAACCTGTTAAATTCCCATGCTGGGGTTTCTTTTTTTTTTCCTACCTAGTTACTACAGATGGCAGGAAAGTCCTGGGGTACAATTAATACCATGGCTTACATTAAAAGTAGATGGGAATTAGAGAGGAAGAGTTAGGGAATTTGTACTCACTAACCACCCTGCTACATAGATACATGTATATCACATATTTATGTTCACATATATCTC